GCTGTTGTCGCCCTGTTGATGACATCAGCGACGCGGTTTAATCGGGCGCGGATTAGTCGAACGCGGTTTTGACGTGTCACAGTTCTTTAGTTGTTATCAAAGAAGAAATATAAGGAGGGGGGAACAGTGTTCAGGGGGGGTTCCTTTTTCTTTCTTTTTGTATTTAGATGCATATGACTATGTTTGTATTATTTGCAACACACACACACACACACACACACACACACTGTGACCATGATTGTTTCACAGATATTTCTTCTTTGCCTTCAGTGATGAGAGAGCTTCTAATGTACTGCCTTCACTGGAAAACCTCTTTAAAATTCAGCGAGAGATTCCGAGACGTATTTGCCTTGAAAATCGAAATGGTGTAGAAGTGAAGTCATAAAGTCTGTCGCAGTCACAGGATGGCTTGCTTAACAACTCCATTGCTTAGTGATGGGGTTGTCAGTCCCAATTATTGTTAAGTAAGAGCAGGAAAAAGGAGCATGGGATCGTCCCAAGTGTCGTAGAGTGACACTTCCTCCCCCATTATCTTTCACCATTTATTTATAGTAGCGGGGGATAATGGGACCTGGAGTCCACCAAAGGAGATAGAAATAATCCTTCTCTTTTCTTTACAGGATACCTCCATGGCTAGATGTGAAATCTGTTGGGAGATTTTCGGAATATGCTACAGTTTGTCCTATGAACCATCAGTGAAAGAGCAACTGCCTTCCTCAAATCAATCACTCCAGCTCAATTGGCAAACAAGGGACTCGCTCGCTGGGCTGCAGAACAGTCTGAACCTAGAGCAAGGATTGATTTGATTGCTTGTTGTCACTAACTCTTCTTGTGACTCTTTTACTCTTTTTATGTTGGATTTTGGAAATCGTTTGCAAGCCGCCTAGAGCCACTGAAAGTGAGCAGGCGGCCATAGAAATTCTCTAAATAAATCAATCCTTGAAATAAATAAAGATTTCCAGCAAGGAAGGGAAGTCACAGGAAAAAGGGAGCCTGTGGGCTGGATGCAAAGATGAAACAATCAGACCCACTGATGGATCTGAATTTGGAGAAGAGCCCTGTTGAGGCTTTTGTTCCTGGAGAGTTTCCAGGCTTCCTAGCCTCGAAACAGATCAAACGAGATCCTGAAGGGGGACAAGACCAGGATTGGGAAGGCCAGGGGCAGCAGGAATCCTTAAAGTCAAGGCATCTCCCTCATTCAGTTGGGCGGCAGAGGAATTTTGACCCCTGGGACGATGCCAAGTCGTTTTTGATCTCCTTTGAGCAGGTGGCTGAAGCTTGCCAGTGGCCTAAAACCGAATGGGTGGCCCGGCTTCTACCGGCACTGACTGGACAAGCCAGAGAGGCCTTTAACAGCCTGGAAAACGGAGACCAAGAAGATTATGGGAAAGTCAAGGCTGCCATCATGCGAGCAGCAGCCTTCAAAATGGAGGCCCAGCGCCAGCACTTCCGACGGTTCCGCTACCATGAGGTTGAAGATCCGCAGAGAGTTTATAGACGTCTCCGGGAGCTTTGCCACCAGTGGCTGAAGCCGGAGAGACACACCAAGGAGCAGATCCTGGAGCTGCTGATCCTGGAGCAGTTCCTGGCCATCCTGCCCCCGGAGATCCAGAGCTGGGTCCGGGAATGTGACCCAGAGAATTGGATCCAGACTACTGAGCTGAGGGAGGATTTCCCGAGGAGCCAAAATGAGGCAGAGACGTGGAAACCACAGGTGAGGCTTGGAGGTATTGGAAATGGATGAGTTCATCAGCCCTTTATAAAACTCTTATAATACAGTGGGGCAAAAAAGGTTATTTAGTCAGCCACCAATTGTGCAAGTTCTCCCACTTAAAAAGATGAGAGAGGCCTGTAATTGACAT